ACATATATATGCATAAAAGAAATTCTCTACACAATATTACTTAAATCACACTTAGGGTAGGATTTACTTACCTTATATGTGAGCATTCCAACACTTTAAAAAAAAAATCTTCTTTGATCCAACTCTCTTTCTCTTAAATCCTATGAACACAAATCATCAAAATTCAACACTTTAAAAATTAAAACTCACTTCTTGGTGCAAGGATCTTACCCAAGGATGCTTGGGATTGAAAATCCACTAAAAAGTACCCAAAATCTATGAATTTCCCTTGAAAAAGAATTGAAGAAATTGAGAGAATATGAAGGTGAAGGTGGCGTGAAAATGGATGAAGAGTGGCTAGGGTTTCACTCTTCAATCCTTGATATAACATAATTTTATATATAGTTTCCCATTTTGCCCTTGCACTTTCTTTAAAATTTCATCTATGTCCCTTAGTCAATTACCATAATGCCCTCATTTTATTGCATTCTCCAAGAAATTCTATCTCTTTTCACTCCCCGCAATTTCAACTAATTTTGAGTGAAAAGACCATTTTATCCCTAATGAAATTTTAAGGCATTTTCTTCACATTTTCTCAAAATAACTTTAATAAAAATCAACTAAGGGTATAAGGGCATAATTTAAGTTACGTACCTCAATGTGGGCGTTACATGGGCAGCTTCTATTCGTAACTCATTATTCAGGGAAACGAGTATGTTCTAGCCTCTCGAGCGTATTACTCACGAGCTTGTCTCGAGCTTCCTGCTATATCCAGTTCTCTGTAGATCATATTCATGAAGATCTCATTAGGGTTTGGCAGAGCCTGTTGAGTTGGGGTCTGTGCCTGACTCGGGACCTGGCTACTTTGCTCGCCAGGATTCTCTCGAGCTGGCTCTACCTTGACAATTCTTTCAAATGACCTCTTCTTATCAAGTCCTCGATGGCATCCTTTAGAGCTCGGCAGTCATTCGTGTTGTGCCTGACATCCCTATGGTACCAGCAATATTTCTGCCGATCTCTTCTGCCTGGTTCCCCCCTCATTCTTTCTGGAACAGACAACCTCTTTGTGTCTCGGGATATTTCATAGATGTGGGTGATGTCTTGAGTGAGGAGGGTGTACTCTGTATACCGCGGGAAAGGTTGCCTATCTTCACGGTTATCTACTCTCTGTTTCTTTTGAAATCTGTTGCTATCTCTATCGCTGCGGTCTTGGCCCCCACACATATCCGAAGGGCGATCCTATCATCTGTCCCCGCCCACCCCCCCTGCGTCAAGCTTCTGGCTAGTACTGCTAACGAGCTCTCTACTTGTTGGTACTTTGTGGCCATCTGGTAGAATTTGGCCAAACTCACATGATCTTCACTTTGGAGCTCTTTCCACAACTCTGTATTATGTCTGATCCTTGCGATCAGTAGAGTCCGAATGGATTCTTCGGGGGCATTAGTAACTTGTGCCTGCTCGTTCTGGAACCTCGTTAAATACGAGGTCAATGATTTGTCCCGCTCTTAGCGAATGTTGCTCAAGTAGTTGAGCATTGCGAATTGTCTCCTCGTTTGGAATTGCTATAGGTATAGTGTGGAGAATTGTTGCCAGGAGTTGATGGAGTTTGCCTTAAGCCATTTGTACCACCTCTTGGCATTTCCGACTAATGTGACTACAAAGCACCGCCATTTTGCTAAATCACTAACCTGATGTAGCTCCATTAGGTCAATAAAGTTATTGAGGTGATCTCTAGGGTCCCCTCTCCCGTCGAACTTGCTCTCTAGCACCTTGAACCCTTGTGGGAGTGAGGCTTGGCGAACTTCCTCCGTAAAGGGGGAACTTACTATTTCCTTCACCAGATTGTTTTGGCGAGCTTTTAGATCGTCGAGCATCTTTTACATGCGATCTAAGTCTTCACTTTGGTTGCCTTGGTTGGCTTTGTTAAGTTGTACCTCAAGCAAATGAGTTTGCAAGTCTGTTGCTTGTGAAGCTCCTCCAATGCACGCATTGATGTGCGAGGTTGAGTCATGATGGCTGGGTTGGTAGGTGCCATCATGCTCGTCAGTGCGTTGTTCGCAACGTCGGTCATAACTAGAATGTAGGTCATTGTCAGATTGTCGCACATGGCTCGCTTCGCGAGCTTGTGAAGATCAATCTTGTCTTGGGTGTGGGTTAAAATCGACACGCTGACACTAGGGATACCACTGAGGTTCTCGGTTGTGTCCGTCGCCTTCGCTTTCCCTCAACGGCTGCTTCTCTGGTCGCCTCCCAAGGTTTGTTTGCTCGTGGGACTCACAATCATGCATGGAGTGCTGGCTGTGAGGTTAGAGGTATTGATCGCCTCTCGACGGCAATGAAGCAGACTATCCACCTGCATAATTCATACATGTTGGGGTGGCGTTGGCGAAGCGCGGCTAGTCAAGGTTTCGGGCAATTAGTTGTTGGTTCCTCAGCTCAGCCACATTCTATTGCACCATCTGTGCAACCATTGTCCTGATCATCTCCATCAGTTGGCCATTCTCAGGATTTGAGGTCCTTGCCCCCTGGTTGTTTGCGGCGTGTTGAGCTGACAGTACAAGTGGTCGGCGTCCAGCGTTCTCCTGTTGCACCTCCTGATGGGTGGTTTCCACGTTCTTGTGATTTCCGGTGGTAGTTCTCGATCTGGTGAACACCATTTTGGTTCTGGGACAAGTAAATCGCAGTGAACGTTTTCTAGCATCTTTGAAATATTGGCGGAGGACCCTCTTTCTAGTGCCAAAATGTTGATACATAAATCTGCACCAACCAGCGAGATATGATCGACCTTGCCAGGATCAGAACTGATGTGTGTGTGATTAAGAATAATCAGCAATGTATGTAAAAAAAAAAATGCAATAAAGTAAAGACAATGAGAGTTTTGAAGTGGTTCGGCGAGGTTAACTTTGAAGCCTACGTCCACTGTTTTTGTATTTACCGTGAGAGCTTACAATATAGTTCCTATGTGAAATTCGTAACCCCTTCCTCCTTGTTTGAGGGGGTTTATATACAAGATTTATACAAAGAAAGGAGCAAAATTAAGGGGATTACAATTGATCTGAATCACAATTCTGATATTTTCATGATTGAGCGTTGTGATTGCGCAGTGATCGCGGTTGATCTAGTCATTCCCATAATATCTGGAATCTGAAATAATCTGGAGGTTGATTGAATGATTCCTTGAACTGTCCGCGACTAGCTTATGTTGGGTCGAGCTTCGGCTCTATGAGCTTATGCTGGGTTGATTAATCATTGTTGTCGAGCTTATCCTAGGTCGAGCTATATCCTCGCGTTGGCCCGAGCTTGGTAGAAAAGCCACACACAACATGCCACATCTGGCCATTAGCAATTGATCAGATCTAATTGTTATTATTGAACCAAAAAATTACAGGATCACTACCAACAACCAAAGTATGGCCTATAAATTTTCATTTTTCATCAAATGATTTTGTTTATGAAGCAACCCTATATTTGAAGTTGACTTGTGCTATTAGCTTTGATTTCTATTTTCTTTCTTGATAGAAATTAATTATGGGTCCAAAAATAACTAGCTACTATACTTTAAAAAAAAAAAAAAAATCACCACGTCAGATATCATCAGTAGAACAAAATTATCATATAATCTCGTCAATCAAAGATCATAAACTGATCAGCTACGAGGCAAAGCAAACATTTATTTTATTTTATTTTATTCTGAACATAATGTTTTATACATCGCAGTCATGAATCCTGAGTGTAAGGAAGAAAGGAGTGTGGTTTCAAATTTCAATCATGAACCCAACTACAACATCGACTAAAGCATTCCCGCTCATGGAGGATAAAATTGTGCGGTTATTGTTGAGTGTTAAAATGGAAGCCTGAAACAGCGTTGTTTTTGGGTAAAGGAATACGACATCGTTTTAGACTAAACAACCTAAATGATTTTAGACCGCAGGATGCACTCCAGATCTAACGGCCAAAATCAATCTCTTAGTCAACCATATATAAACTCATTTTTTGCGCAGAATCGAGTAACACACACAGTTAGGGTTTTCTCTTTGTGCGATTTCTGAGTTAGGGTTGTGAGTTATTTGCAGATTGTTTGTGTATCAGTTCGAGTGGTTAGGGAGATTAATCATTCGGGTGAGAGTGTTGTTCTATCGGGTTAGGGATACTTAGTGGGTATCTTGTTAGGTTGATTGCAGTTTACATTTGTGTAGATCTGGTGTTTGTCGAATCTATGTAATTTTGTCTGTTCTTGATAATAGAAAGTGCAACGAGCTCATACCGTTCTTGAGCTTAACGTGGATGTAGCTTATCCATAAAATGATAAGTGAGCCACGGTAAATCGTATCTTGATTGTGTGTGTGATTTAATCTTGAATCTTGGTTGTGGTTTGTTTGTGTTGGTGAATTGATCAATTAGGCTCGAGTCCTAACATTGAGGCTTACCCTAATGTGATTTTTTTCTCCAACTTGTAACTAGAAAATGTTAATTCGCAGAATAAAAATAGCTAAGAATAGGCAAATATCAACCTTCATATGAATTACATTATTTTGTCTCCATGCCTCAGAGGGAAGAAACGAAGTTCTCTAAATTGATCAACTGTCATGTCAATTAGGAGATTGAAGTGGAGAATGACGAGTTTAGCAGTTGTCATGAATAGAAAGTGTTTCCAATATTTTTCAGTTTCTTGCAGTATGGGCCTCAGGAGCATTCGATTAATGTCCTTTTTAATTTTGAACTCTTTAACGCATCACAAAATTTATGAGTACATATGCATGAAATTAAACATCCAGGACACATTCATTTGATCAAAAGCTCGGAAAAGTAACAGAACAAATGGTACTCTAGTTATCCAATAGAATAAAGGACAGGAAACATTTTTTCTCTCAAACAAACCAAGTCTAAAACTTCCGAATTATAGCTGATTTAAACATGAAGCCTGTAGAAGGGATCTCTTGTTGTTGAGAAGATAATAATTATTAGAAATTAGGCTGCATAAGCAGGTAATGGCATTATGTTTCAAACTCATTTAGTATACATTACCAGCCACTCCCTCTCCTTCTGTCTTCAAAATCTGCTGCCCTCTCCTCTTTCAGCATTTGCACCATTTTGAGTATACTGGGATTAAAGAAACGATCACGAACATACTTCCTCTCCTCTGCTTGTATCTCCTTAATAGCACTAGGATATGGGTTTGGAGGAGGCCTCTTCCCCTGAAGACGTGCAATTTGTTTCAATCGGGCATATGCCTGCTTTTTCGCTTTCTTCCCTGCCCGATATTCCATCTACAAAGATATAACAACTGTATGCTAACAATCGGGGAAAAACAAAACACAGACTTTTTACGTTTTCTCTAACCATTAATTCATCTGAAATTAAAAAACACTAACAGTACCTAGAACGGAGACAAAGAGAAAAAGAGAGAACTGTTTAAGTAGAAAATTGCAGGAAGCATACATCAGCCACAGCCATAGCTTCCTCCTCACTAACTCCTGCTCCTTCAACTCGAGCACCCGCAAACCAAATTTACGAGCTGGAACAGGTTCAAAACCACAAATCCTACCAGAAACATAAAGCATAAATTAGTTCAGTTATCAATAAAATGCACTCTGAAAACAAAGCAAGCCTCAGCTTCCAAAGAAGACTAACAGATATTCAACAACCAAGAAAGGAAAAGGCTATCCGAAAAAAAAAAAAAAAAACAATATTAAAATAACATAGTAAGACAACAACTTTTAATGAGCATTAATGCCTCTAATTCAAAAAGGCAAAACTCTTATTTCACCTAAATGCACAAGCAACTGGCGCATGAACTTCATCCTTGACCGACCTCTATAAGGTAGCTACAGAATCAATATTTTGTAAAACCATGGATCATAAAAAATTATCACTTCTCGATTAACTGATCTAAGTTGAGCCCAAGAATCAAATAAACTACTAAATCAAACAAAATAAAAAATAAAAAAAGCTCATGAAAAGCGTCACTCATATGAACAGCATACCACCTCTCTGCTATCCATTCCCACTAGCAGTAAATACATGCACCACAACCCCTTAGAATTTTCACAATCCTAAAATTTCGAGATCATGCAACTACTCTGCAAGTACCACATACAGTAAACACATAAACATCCTCAGGAAGATTAATCTTCTGAACTTTCCCGTCACCACTTGGGAAGTTGCAGGAGGAGCCCTGAGCATTAAAATCAACCATAAACTAAATCAAAATCCCAAATCTCATTTAGTATTGTTAAATATGGAAGCCTGAAACAGCGTCGTTTAAGTAACACTAATACGGCGTCGTTTTAGGCGTATTAATTTGGGCAAATGCAGACCACAGGATGCGTTTCAGATTGAACGGCCAGGATCACTCACAAAGTCAAACCATATATAAGCGCATGATTCATTCAGTCTTGAGAGAGAGAGAGAACGACAGTGGCTAGGGTTATATTGAGTCGGTTATTTTCTCTGTGTTAGGGTTGAGATTCCATTCCAGATTGTGAGTATCAGTCGAGTGATTAGGGGCTTTAATCATTCAGGTGAGAGTGTTGTTCTCTCGGGTTTGGGATATTCATAGGGTATATTGTAAGGCTGAGTGCTGCTGTATACAGGTAGATCTGGTGAGTGTTGAATCTGTGTAATCTTGACTGGTTTCTGGTAATCGAAGTGCAGCAAGCTCATACCTTTCTTGAGCTCAACGTGGATGTAGCTTATCCATAAAAGGATAAGTGAACCACGGTAAATTGTGGCTTGTTCTGTGTGTTTGATTTTTGTGGTATTCTTGTGTTTCTTGGTTTGATTGTGTTGCGTTGATAGATCAGTTCTTGCTATTAAGGTATAACAAGTATAAATAATTTTTAAAAAAAAAAATCCATGAAATAGTACACCGATGGCAATTAATAGTTTCTAAATCAAGAAATAGAAAGAAAGAGGCTCGTCAAGGGCTTTAAGCCAAACAGGCTCGGCCTTGGCCAAGCCCTTGACGAGCCTTCTGGTTTTAGTTAGCAAATCTCCTTTCATAAACGACATTATGCCCTGATATTTCGTTAATTCTCTTCGCCTGATGTCTTTCTACTTCATTGAGTGGGGTACCAGGTGCAGTTGAGAAATTTAGCTGCCCGGCCATCCCAAGTTTCGATTTAAGAAAATGGCCTTGAAAATATTTTTCATTTTTTTTAATTTAGAGAAGATGACGTGGCATAGTTAGGATTAATTAAACACGTAAAATGAGTTAAAATGAAAAGATTAAAACATATGTGGGCCAAATCATAAATAATGAAAGTTTTTAAAATTTGAAATTTCTCAAAACAAGCCCCACCTATTCACCTCGCTTAATCGAAATTCATTAGGGCAAAAAGTGATTTCTTGAACCAAAGGGAGATTGCGATTTTTTCCGATCCAACCTGCAAATTTGCACCTTAAAATCAATTTCTTGAACCCTAAACCGAATACAGTCGCGATTTCCGATCGATTTCTTGAACCCTAAACAGAATCTGTGCGATTTCCGGCAATACAGTCCACATTTTTTATCAAAACTGCAAACTTTGACACCAAATTCAATCCAAAATCATGGCTGACACTCACAATGAGGAGGAAAACCCAACGCCACTTCGAATCCTAGATTCTAGTGGTGCAAGCAGTTCAATGGCTGCTCCAGTGGATCATCCGATCAGTGAAGGTGGTCTATAGGCAGAGGAGACGTCGGCGGCACAAGAACAGAGGGAAGAATAGGCAAATGATTCTAAAGACGAGGAGTCAGGCGAGAATTCAGGCCAGGAGGAGGAGTCCGGCGAGAATTCAGGTCAGGAGGAGTCGATTTACTCTTGGTTGCTTAAGCGATTTCAGACGATCTTGTCGAGGCAGAATCACAGATATAATAAGCGATCTTTTGTATCGCTTAAGAGATTCTTTCAGTTTACTCTTGGTCGCTTAAGCGACTTCGAATCGCTTAAGCGATCTTGCACGAGGCAGAGTCAAGATCTCTTAAGAGATCTGAAATCGCTTAAGCGACTATAGTGTTAATTTTTTGTTGCTGATATTTTGTTTATTAGTTGTTTTGGTTTATTTTTGTTGCTGCCATTTTGTTTATATCGATTGTGCAGATTGTGCGGACCGTAAACTGTAGAGACTACGAGTTGGAGCTTATAAGTGAGAAGGTATCCTACTTCCCTGCAAGGGTGACACTGAGGTCGAGTTGGGATGTTTTTGACAGAATAAGGGACATTTTAGTTGGAATGAGGCATGGTGAAAGAGATTTCCGTCGCACTTGTTTCAGTCAGTTTTTAAGAATCTGAACAAATTGGAAAAAGGCATTTTGGGGGCAGGGAGTGCATTACATGTTGCTGCACTCAGTCAAATGCAAAAAAAACAAAAAAAAAAAAAAAAAATGTGGTTCATGGTGGACGGAAGCCACTACGGTTTGGGATGATGGAGTATGCCTTGGTGACGGGCTTAGGATGTGGGGAAGTGCCAGATAAGGCAGAGGCAGAGGCAATAAGGATGGGTCTGGGAGCCATAAGGTTTCGTAAGAAGGTTTTGCAGGGGCAAAATCTATTTAGTGACACGTTTAGAGGAGAGGCTAGAAACAGTTCGGTTTAATGATAAAGAGAAGATAAAAGTGTGCTTGCTATTTTTTTTACATTCTATCTTATTGGCTGGTGACTCAACAAAAGTTGTTGAGAAAGATTGGTTGTTGTTTGCAAGTGACTTGGAGTTCTTTAATTCTTATCCGTGGGGACGGATATCATTTGAGCGAGCCATCAACAGCCTGAAAAAACCATACATGGATTTAAAGCAGACCCAATGGGTCGGGAAGGATAAACCAAGCACGTATAATTTGTTTGGCTTCCCATGGGCAATGCAGGTAAATATTAATAGCTTTCTGTTATATTTTTTTATAATATATGTGTTTGAATTATGATATGGACTGTTTTTTTACAATGTAGGCTTGGATGTACGAGGCCATCCCTGTCTTCGCTAAGGCCAGGGGGGGGGGGGAGGAGCAACAGTTTGGATGTGCAACAGCAATTTCCTAGGATGTTGCAGTGGCATGTTGGGAGGTGTAACCATTCGGATTACAACCAAATAGAGATTGAGATTTAAGCAGCTGGGGTAAGATTAAAAGATTAAGTTTTTGAATATGCAGTTGCTTTAAAATGTTGCTTCAATCTGATTGATTTTGTTTCTTATTGTAAAGAGTCATCCGTCCTTTTCTCACTGCTACTGGGGATGAAGTGGAAGAGGACTATGTCACATCTTTCAAAGCATTGGAGGATAAAAGGGATGAACGGATAGACCGCCTGATGCGGGACCTAAAAGGGGTCACACATGTGACGGCAATTACAGGGCCACTGCTTGACAATGTGGTTGATGCCGAGGATTATGAAGCTCCAATGGGCAGGAAGCCCGAGGATGAGGATGAGGATGAGGAGGAGAAGAGGGTGGAAGAGGTTTGTATGCCTCAGCAAATCGGTACAACAAGTACCGCTTTGCCGAGACATCAGCGTTGGGAGAATGAGGTGGTTGACCTCATAAACGGCATGTTTGAGAGTTTTACAACAGCTGTTTATGACAGGTTTGACAAGATAGAAGAGCGCATGAAAAAGGTGGAGGAGAAAATGGATAAGCTGGCAGATAAAGTTGGTACAGTGGAGGAGGAAGTTGGTGAAGAATTAAAGGCGGTTAAAATGTGAACTGGATTGAAAAGAGAGAGCCGAAAGAGCAAGTTTGTGAAATCGCCTTACATGGTAGTGACACAGGTAAAGAAGAAGAAAATTAAGAAACAAATGGAGGAAGAACCAGAAATTGAGGAGGTTGGTGGAGGAAGTAGGGCGGTGATAATGGAGGAGGGCGAGGTGGGAGGCGAAGGAAGCAGGGATGTAAAAATGGAGGAAGGGGGAGGAAGTGGGCAAGCGAAAATGGACTCAAATGTCGATTTGTATAGGCCAATAGAGGAAAAGAAAAAACTCTTCTATGCCTATTACAATGGATCAGGAAGTAATGCCCATATAAAGTGTAAGACATGGGATTATCCCCGGGAATGGTTTGAGAAGTTATTGACGATGGGCACATGGCTTGAGGACTCGGTGAGTTATTTTTGCTTAATTTTCCTTATTTTTGCCTATGTTTTCTGTACTTATTTTGTTGTTTTTATTTGATGCAGCACATTGATGAGATATTAGCACTGATGAGGCTACGACAGATTACTGATGGTGATCTATTGTATCCCGACTATGCCAGCACCGATGTGATGTTTGGCCAAACACTTGTTTCATCATATCGCACTTTAATTAAAAATGTCGTTGGTAGTGGTGCAGCAAAAGGACCGAAGCGAAAAAGATTGGCCCCACTACAGTTGGACTGCATCCCTGATGATTTTCATTTTGATGACAGAATTATGCAGTACATACGGGGGGATTAGCCCAAATATGGCCACGGTTGGGCCTTTGTTAAAGAGTATACTACATCATCCTCATCAAACATATGCACTAGATAGCAGTCGTCGCGCATCTAGAGGAGGGGTTGCTGAAGATCCTTGACTGAAACCCAACTATTTGTCGAGACAAACAGTTGGAGGTCGAGTTGGAGCCACTGTCCAGGTTGTTCACACGGCTGTTGCGTGACAGCAGGATGTTTGGGCACTTGGGTGATCAAGTACTAACCAAAAAGTGGCCAATTAAACGCTCTACCGGCCCAGTAAATGAGTCAAGGTAAATTTTGTATAAAACTAACTTACATAATACAATTGTTCTATAAGTTTATTCTAATGCTAATGTCTTCTTCCTATTGTAGTGCTCAATGTGAGGCATATGCCTTCAAATTTATTGAGTTCAACATGACCAACACCCCGATAGACGACTTGAATGATGAAACAGTGAGAGACTGTCGAGAGGGCTGGGCTGTCGACTACTTCCATGGGCAGATGGATCCATTTTGAGTGAGCAGAACCCAATCAAAAGGTATGAAAGTTGGACTTTGAATTTCGTAGTTTATGTGATGTTGATGTTGATACTTGGGTTGTGGTGCTGATGCTACAGGTGTCATGCTTATATGGAGCTTTATCGAAAGACACGAACTGAGTGAACTTCTCACCTACCCACTCTTTAACTTTTTTACGTGTTTTTTTTTTTATTATTTACAAAAGTTGACGTGTCTGCAGGTGTGTGCCGAATAATTTTGCAAGTTCCTGACAAACAATAAGAGGAAACTTCTCAAAGGCTGGTTGGCAAAAGGATGCATCTGCAATAAAGGCTGCTGGGAAGGCATGGTACCAAACAATTATCTCAGAGAGGTTGTTGGCAAATAGAATTCGAAAACTTCTCAAAGGCTGGTTGGCAGGAAGAGGCATCTACAATAAAGGGATTGTGCAAAGGTGTTAGTGACATTAAACTCTTTGGCATCAAAAAGTAAATTAAAGACAGTGTATAGGAAATTCTTGTGCTGTGGCTCTTCTTGCGGCAGCCAAAAGCCTTGTGCTTGCAGAATCATTGTAAAGAATTGGGTCTGACATTTTGTCCATACAAGATATCTCATTAGCAGTTTGAATTTACTGTGCATGGTGTGATCATTTGCTTCACCCAAGTTGGATAATGGTTTTTTAGCATTTTGTTTCATTTTGTGTATCACTACAACGTGTGATGTACTGGTGTGATTATTTGATTCACCACAGTTGGGGCTAATGGTTAGCTTGTCCATATATTTCGATATTTGCCGCATCCCATGCCTATTTTTTATTTTGTGTTTCGATAAACAGGTTACATTGATGTCTCTTATATTTTGATTTGTGATGGATTAGATTAATATAAATTACTTAATTTTGCGATACAAATTCTTTTTGGATTTGGGAGGGAAATGAGTGATGTACAAATGTTTCCCAATCACAATCATTTCGAAATTAATTAACTTAAAGAATGGCATGGTACCAAACAATTATGTATATGACCGACTACATATATCTCTTAAACGACAAAGACTTTTCCATGTATGATTGCTTAAGCGATCTCAAATCGTTTAAGCAACCAAGAGTCTATTACGAAGCATCGCTTAAGCGATTACCCATCTGGGCAAATGTTCATTCTGCCCCGGAAAATATCGCTTAAGCGACATAGACTCTTTTAGGAAGAATCGCTTAAGCGATACATAAGATCGCTTAAGCGATCATAGATCTGGGCAGATATTCATTCTGCCTCGGACAAGATCGCTTAAGCGACCAAGAGTCTTTTACAAAAATCATAGATCTGGGCAGATTCAGTCACCATATATGAGCAGCAATTTTACTGAGAATTTCTTTAAAATTTCGTTAACTTAGTTTGGTTGATCTAATATTATTTCTATTATAAATATTCTTTTATGATATTAAAAAATAAATTTTCATCTTAAACATCACTATTCACTATCACAAACTGTTGTCTTACAGAGTAATTTATTTTTTTAGAGCATCATAAATTCATAATAGCTTAAAGAGTAATTAAAAGATGATAAAATAAAATAACCTTTTTAACCCCTTTTAAATAGAAGGTGAGGTCTAAATAAGAGTAAGCTGAGGCTAAAAGTCACCACATTTAGTAAAAGTAAAATTGGAAGGGTAAAGTAGAAACTAGAAAGCCCAAACTAGTGGCGAAAGCAATACAAAGTCACCCAAATAATTTCAAAAACCAGTTGGACCTGGGTTTCTTAATCATTCTGCTAAACCATCTAGGATAATTTAAAGTTATTTCAAAAGAGAAGTATGTCAAACCAAGAAGTTGAACCCCAATGCAACTGATGAACCTTAAATCAGTTAAGAGAAGCCAAATAAACAGGACAAAAGCCACTAGTATGCCCAAAATAAATAATTGCCCTTGAAGCATTAGGTAAAACATTTTCAAGTTTCCTTCCTAAGTGCATACATAAAACGGGTATACTTAAAAACACTTATGAAAAAATAGCTGCCCTTTTACAGTTGGTTTATTATTGCCTTTATTTTTCAGTTACTTATTATGATTTCTAGTGTTTGTCAAATGGATTCCTTATTGATGACATCTGATTTGCCTAGATTTATATGGATTTATGCATAATCTCCAGGCTCCTATCACAAAAATTTAAAATCCAAAACACAACTACCTTCCTTTATGTGGAATATATATATATATATATATATATACAGCTCCAGTGGATGTGAAATAGCTATTAAAAAAAAAAAAAAACTTCTATTATCGCATTCTCAATCTGCTTGTAGACTCTGAACTCAGTTTGCAACATTCTCAGAGCCAATAGAGAAAGAAAAATTGCAAGTTTATGATTAGCTAGCACTATCACTGACCTCCAATAGAAAATTAATCTACTTTATATCCAAAATTGTAAGGAACTTCAGCAACAAAGAGGGATTATAACTCATCATGACCATCGACCACCTTAAGGCCCCAACTCATATCTTCACAATGTTTCACATGGGGAACAACTACACCTGTATCAATTCCTTTCTTTGCCTTGCAATCATAAAAGGGAGGAGCATGAAAACAAGGCTCCATTGACATTGCTCGTCGACAAGGTGGGTCTGGAGCTGTCCTATTTTGAGGCTTGTAGAGGATCCATGGTTTCAAACCTCCAAGACCCTGAGCTACATAGCCAAATGTAGACCATGAGCTTGTGACCAAAACATCAGTCAGACTGAGGAGATACATTTCGGCCCATGCCTTCCTGTTGTGCAACCCTTTCTCTGTCTGTTGATACTCTTCATGACTTGGCTGGTAAAACCCAACAAAATCACCAGAAATAGTCGGATGTTCCCAGTACATGTTCCTCATGTTCTCATAGTATCCAGAATTCAAAGATGTCACTAGAACAGCCTTCAATTTAGGCTTTTCTGATAGATTGACAACAGATTCTTGCATGTTAACTTTAGGCAGCAGCTTCTCATTCAGACTACAGGCCAAAATCTGATCCATTACATGATTAAATGGACCAACACCTGTATCAAAAACTCTAATTTGAATTCCGAGCCTCTCATCCGCCTTGGCTAAGTAAGCTTGATAGTACCTTGTGATTAGGCCCCATACATGGTCTGAGGGGTGGAAAAGATACCGACCCAAGTGGTGGAAAACAGTTCCTTTCTCGGGAAATAGTCTGCCAAGTTCGTGTTCAAAAGATTGGATCAGAAAGAGTGACGGCACAAAATAGTTGTTTGATTTCATAACTAACCAGGGAACTTTTGCCAAAAATGCTTGATCTTCATCACAGAAAAAGAGCTTATCATGATCTCCATAATCGTGAGTGAGATGGAGATATAAATAGGATGGTACTGATTCTGTTGAAGTGTTAATGATGTTATTCTTCAGCATTTTTCCGTAACACTGAGGAGAGTCCTGATTGAAGCCTTTGAACTTATGGGTGATAGGAAAATCCTGGGGTAGCAACCATGATTTATCTGGAAATGGCTCACAGAAGAGATCAGCCATGTCCTTTCCTTGATCAACGAGAAGGACTCGGTTTGTAAGAAGAGCATAAAGAAATGCTGAAGCAAGGGTTAGAATCCTATTTCCCAAGCCACTGAAAGATATCCACACAATGTATTTACAATCTGTGGAGCCAATACTATGACTATACTTAAATTGTTTCAGGGTTTTGTTGAAGGACAGTGTATGAGGTCCACAGCGTCTATGAAGATCTTCGTAATTTCTAAGTTTGGAAAGGAGATACGGAAAAGGCTTATGGGGTGACGTTTTGCGATATAAAAAAGACTGGTATCTGCTTAAGCAAGAAGCTGCATCAAACCCATCAGCAAGAAGTCCACCAAGCAATTTGTCTTCCGGCAGTTCAGCAGCTTTAAAGTGATCATCGACTGAACCTATGGATCGGACAGAGATTACAACTTGAAAAACTAAACAAACATTAAATAAAATAAGATCACTGGTAGTCTAAAAACTGGCACAGATAGATATATTTCTCAAAATTCAGAACGTAGAAAAATAAAACAGAGGGTTTAACAGAGATATTAAACAATGATTTTGTTTAATTTAAGCCAAGGTTCTCGAGAACCCTTTGCTTCTCACTTATTGAGCTGGAAAAGAATTAATGGAAAGCAGAACCAAAGAATGTCCTATAATGGGGATTTTTAACAAAAGCTGCCACATATTCATACAAGTACTAAATTGTTTTAAAATTAAACCCAGACTTAAATTCTACAACTAGTACAAGCAAGATTTAATTCTATAACAAATTCCCTTTTGTTAAATTTAATTGAGATTGCAGTTCATAAACTTGCGAAATTCACTTTGGCTTTTGCAAGAATGCCAAATTTGCATCACATTTTTTAGCTCCAATTAAGCAGCAAATCACATTAACATCTACATTATAAATTACGAGCATTTAAAAGAAAAGCTTAACTATTGAAGAGAGTTTTTCTCACCTGCATTCACCGTAGTGGAGATATTTAGTTGAGGTTGAGCATCCAAAACTCTGGCGTCGGCGAATCCGATGACCTGATCGGACGGCTGGTGACCAAAGATCAAGGAGAGGGTGATGAGGAGTGGAAGAGCAGTCAAACAAGCAGCCAAAATCCTGTTAAGCTTCACAGTAGAGAACCAGAATCTCTCAGAAGGAGGTCGTCCAAGATCGAGGAAGCGTTGATCTGTGGAGTTGGAGGGAGAAGATCTTCGCCTGAATGAATTTAGATCCATAAACAACTCAACGTTAGCAACTGATAGTAGAACGAGTTGATTGAGTTCGTTTTGGACTAAGAACTTGTCAGAGCAGTCAAACTCAAACCGTCATTCATGGCTTTTATCACTCATTTTTCCACCGTGGAATAAAAAGGAAAATCGTTATTAAGGTTTAGAATTATAAACAATTCAATTTATTAATTTTCTTAAATATACTAAATATTATCTAATAGGTAAATTATATTTCTAAATCCTCAAAAAAAATTTAGATGATCTTCTATTTATTATCCTATTTATTAATATTTACTTGTATTCTATAACCCTACTACATTACATATTTTTCTGAAGTCAAAGTACATTGATTATATTTATGATGGGATTTTTTTTTTGTTGTTTAAAATCTAAATAATTATGATTTGGCTGAAATTTCCTACACAATCCATAAATGATACAACGTTTGTTTTTTCATGTTTAAAATCTAAATAGTTTTAACATTAATTAAATGCTTGATATGTCTAAATGCATAAATATATGAATAATTTATTTGTTTTTCTTATAATTTGTAAATATATGATTTTAATTCATTTATCTTTCTTGTTAAATTTTTTTCTTTTTTGTTTTTGTTGGTTGTATTTAAGTGAGATTATTTATGACATAATTAGAAACATGCACATATGCAGCCTAGTTAGTAAATACGCGTATAAAACGTATATTTACGTATTTTTTAAATGGGTGCCGAATTATTCGCGAATTTTTGGGATATCCGTATACGCGAATTATTCGCGAATGATTGAAAAAAAAAAAAAAGGAGCTGATTGAAACGACGTCGTTTTGATGGGGAAGAAGAAATAAAAATCAGTGGAAATTAAATAGCCGTTAGAAGAAGAGTAGAATGGGACAAGATATAATTATTTTGTCCAAATTCAAAATCCCAAAGCAATCTGTGACGTATAGTAACATGGGATTATAAAATTGAAATAAAATACTAATTAAACCCAACAAAAATATCTGGGTTTCCTAATAATAATTATTATAAAATCAATTATATTCTTCTTTTTTAAGGAAAGTTGGAAAAGGGGTTTTAGATTGAATTAATGATATTAATGATCTTATTCTTTATGTTAAATAACCTTAACAGTTAAATAATAATTATTATAAAGAATAACTGATAGTCAACCTAGTAATTCAGTGTCTTAACTTTATTGAATCAATAATAAATAAATGAAAACAATTAAAGTCATATATTATGGGTATTGTAACACTAATATTTTATTAGATTTATGAGACAGAATTTTAGTTCTTATTTAATATAATGGATTAATGGAAGTTAAAATTGGTTGCTTTAATATCAAACTTATCAGTTTTAATTAGAAAAGAATCATGGCTAAATATTGTGTTTGAGTCTGAAACTACAATTTGAATATCAGTTATTTTTTAATAATTATTATTTAACCTTATTTAAGGTTATTTAACATAAGAATAAGCTTATTTAACCAGGTAATCCAAAAAGTATTAAATTAAGATTGATATTGCCGTATTTTTCAAAACGTATTATTGACAATGCACCGTATTAAACCCGTAATATCCGTATCGTATTTTTTCCGTACCCGAATTTTATGGCCGATTTTTATAAACGTATTTTTCAAGGTTGGCCGTATTATACCCGTAAAATTCCGGTACCCTTTTTTTTGCCGTACCCGTATTTAATAACTAGGCACACTAATATAATATCATGCTAGATGCCGTCAAGCACAATGTGTGGTCTATCATGCTTCTATAATGCTTTGGATCAACACTTTTACCTCACTCGTCAGCTTTCAATTTCAGTGAGGTGCTTATTATGCCTAAAAAATCAGAGCTGACATAAGCTTACATCAGCGAGTACCAATAAGAGTTCAAGAAGACTTTGCATCGTCCAGGAGTTGTCACATTGCCCCAAGACAGGGAGAATACGGCTGTCACCAACCTAGTAGGTTCAGGTTTTGTCTACAAGTGAATGAGGATTGTACACCAGTCCAAGCCCCAGATAATTTGAGGATATTTCCTAATTTATCAGCCAATGAAAGGCAAGGAAAGACTTGCACGACACCTACCCACTTGCAGATTTGTAATCATAACCTTGAATTCAGCAACTATAAATAAAGGACCCCCCCTAAAATTTAGGATCGGTCATTCTCTGATTTTCATAATATTCAATTGCAAAGACAACCTACGAGAAAGAGACTGACTTGATATTCTCTCTGAATACTCAGTCATTGTACCTCTGTTTGCTGTTCGCTGTTCGCTATACGCGACCTCTTGTAACACATTTATATAAAAGAAACAGTGGATGTAGAAATCGCTTTAAGCATCTGAACCACCGTAAAAATCCTTTCTTATTTATTATTCAGTCTTTGCATTCAATCGTATCTGTAACCTTGCTCTAACTCACAAATCATATCATATGTAATTTCTATAATCTGCTTAGCACTTTGCGCGTGCGAGGTTGTTGGTGTCAAAATCAAGCATCAACAGTTTGACGCTAGAAGGAAGGCAAGCTTCATATCAGCCCTTCATCTGGTATTTCTAACTGATTAGTCAGTTCTACTTGTAAGCTCATGGCTCGAGGTCTTGAAACTGAGTGTGCTAGCACCAACAATGAGGAGACCCCCCGAGTTTAGAAGATTACTCCTTCTGAAGTAACTCCACCTCTTCAAAGTACTACGGTGGGTAACCCCTCGACCTCTCAGCCATATTCGGCTGTTATGGATTATCTGGAAAGATATAACGCCACCTCCAAAAACGCTTGTAGGTCGCGTTAAAGCGCAGAAACGAGCAAAGGCTCATACCGCACGCACTACAGTACATAAAGATAAGAAAAAGCAAGTGGCTGAGCATGGGCCAAAAGGCTCTAAAGGGCCATCGAATACTGGTCGTGAAATAGGGAGAATACATGTAGCTTTGCGGCTTGGTGGTATGTTGCATCGTGAGCTATCTCATGCCACATTGCAAGGGCATCCCCACAAGAGTGCTAGCAGGGAGATTCCCACTATCGCCTGAATGATGGTTTTGATCATCACCGAGAGGAAAATACCCACCGACTGCGGGTCGGTTCTGACCATCTCAGAAGTCAGGAGAACTCCCCAAGTCATTCAGTGCCTTCACAAGGCTCTAGCCAGCATGTGTCAAGGTATGCCGAAGGCTCCGACCAAGACAGGGAAGAGTCCAATTTGCTGTCTTTCCTTGATCGCAATCGTAGGGAACGCACCTATATTGCAGAAAGTGATCCTCAGGTGACTTTGCTTCCTCAAATAAAAAAATTAAATCGAGCTTTGGATTAGCTTAAAGCTCAACAGAATGAGTTGGGGTAGGTCGCTGAGGCGTCTCCCTTTTCTCTAACAGTTTTGACTACTCTTTTCCCGTCAAGATTTAGAATGCCCAACATGAGAGCATTCGATAGGAATTCTGATATGCAGGATCATTTCTATGAGTTTAACGACCTCATAGAGCTTCACAAAGTTTCTAACTTAGTGAAATGTCGCTGCTTAGCAGTGACTCTGACTATCCACGCTAAACGGTGGTTTAGATTGCTTCTACCAAGGTCTATCAACTCATGGCAGAAGATGAGTTCATTCTTTTTTAGACACTTCTAGGCCAATAGGAAGTTCTCAATATTGTTGAGCTATCTTAGCAACATACGACAGGAGAGGGATGAATTTTTCCAGTCCTATATTGACAAGTTTCACAGGGAGTTGAACAACGTGGCTAATGCACTCGAAGATTCAGTTCGAACTCTAATTATTGCTAGAGTTCACCCACAAACCAACCGGTGGAAGAAACTGCGATCAGAGGATGATACTTCTCTCACTTGCTTCTACAACCTCATAGAAAAATATCTCAGAATAGAGAATTCAGTGGCAGCTTTAAATTGCCATGACCTTGGGCCTTCGACTAGTGCTCCTAGTCAGAGGGAGGAAAATCGAAGAGAGAATAATAAAAGATCTGATCGTAAATGGGCTAATGACGATCAAAGAAAGGGAAAGAAACAATGGTTTAAGCCCAAGAAATCTTACACCCAAGTTTCTCGTCATGATCGCAACTGAAATTTGTTTACTCCACTAAAATGCATTGGTTTAAGCTATTCAGGACAAGTAAGAAGAAGCTAATCTGTTCAGAAAGCTAGAGCCCATGAAAAATCCCATTTCTAAAAGAAACAGCAAGAAATATTGCCGTTATCAACCGGATAATGGGCACCATACTGATGAATGATGAGCTCTTAAGCAGGCAATTGAAGACCTCATTCAAAAGGGGCACTTCAAGGAGTATATAGATGGTCCAACTCTTACTAAGGAGAAAGATCAAAAGGGTAATGGAAGGAAGCGCCGAGGTCGCAAGGGTCTCTATGTGGTAGGGAATATCTTTGTGGGACTGTATATCGTGGTAAGCTCTCGAGGTGTTCAAGAGAAGTACGCTCGAGAGGCTCAGCATGAGCCCTTGAATGTCTTAAGCATGGCACCGTGACCTAGCAAAACGTATAGAGAAGAGGAGATTACCTTCTCCGAGAAAGACGCAGTATGATTGCATCACCCTCATGAGGACGCACCCATCATCGCGGCTGAGATAAGAAGGTGCGAAGTCCACAGAATGTTAGTGGATAATAAGAACGCCGTGAACATCCTATTTTAGCAAGCATTCGAGGAAACGCAATTAGAGAAGACAAATCTGAAGCTTGTCTCCATTACTCTTTATGGCTTTATCGGGTATTATCTGATTCCCAGGGGAATAATTGAACTTCTTATCACTTTGGGTGAGACCCACGAAGTGACTGAGATGATAGAATTTCTGGTAGTAGACTATCTGTTAGCTTTCAATGGCATCTTGGGATGACCTTTATTGCCGAACTTTAAAGCTGTCACCTACATCTATCATCTGAAGATGAAATTTTCCACTTTGATAGGGTGTAGGGAAGTCAAGGAGTCTCAGCGTGAATCTCGTGACTGTTGTGCAAATGGCATGTAAAGGGAAAGGAAAGTCTGTGTGCATTCCTGAACAAGCAATGACGATCAACAGGATCGGACCACAGCTTGGTCCAGTTGAAGACAATATTGATCCTTG